TTATTATTATTATTATTATTATTATTATTATTACTACTATTACTATTACTATTACTACTACTACTACTACTATTATTATTAGTATTATTATTGCTACTATTATTATTGTTACTATTGTCTATAATTTGTACAATTAACCTCTCTGTGGTTCGACACCGGTCTTGCCGGGTTATTTATTACTTCGACACTCCTGTATTTGGGAGAAAACATCAATCTTTTCATCGTGTCATTTGTAAAACCTAATATTATATGCAAGTCTTATGATTAGTTATTGAAAATTTAAGCAATCAAATCAAATTAGAATCGATTATATATGAATCTTATCATGATTATAAGAAGATAAGCAGAGCTAGATAAACTATTGATATTCCACAATCTGAATTATGGTAATACACATGGGTCTGTTGGAGGATATATAGTCAAACTAATTAGAGTAATTCGTGATGATAACAATACACATGATCACATTAGTTAGGGGTAATTTAATTTAAAAAACCCTTGGCAATAACAATAATTAAATGATGACATGAAGAATTCCATCACAAGCCATGAGTGATAAAAGAAATACCTTATGATGATATTAATGCACATGTGCTTTTCGATGAGTGCTGGAAGGATGAACATAATTAGATCAACTTAGAGCAATTTTGTTTAAAAAAATAAGGTGACGAACCTATTTAGAAGTTAAGAATAGAAAGGCATAACTATTTCATTAAGGAAAACAAAAGGTGGGAAAAGATGAACAAATACTACACATAGAGGCATCAACCAACTAGGAGAAACATTATGGCTATAAGATGGTTTGTTACTTTTCAAGAAATGGTTAGCTATGCAAAATTTCTTATAATGAACATAAAAGGGCAATGGTTGTTATATAAGGTTGAAGTTGTAATGAGACATGATTTATACAAGCAAACTTAAGCAGGTTAGTGGGTCAAGCGATCAAAAAATACTAAATTCAAACTAGTAAGTCCTACTACAAACAAGAAAGATAGATTGAAGAAAAGGAGGGCTTATATTTTCATATAGGTAGAAAAACATGAATTTCATCTAATCCAAAATGTTAGCATTGTGTAATGTTTTGCAACATTTTGTTTTTATTATAAAAATCTTGTATCGAGTCTAGTAAGACTCTAAAACATTTTAACCTAACAAGGTTTGTTGTAATTTTAAAGCCCAACAAGGATCAAATAGATTTCGAGTCCAACAAGAATTTTTTTTTCTTTTGCTTTTATAGCTTTTCAAATTTTTTCACAAATACTATCTTTTATTTACAAGCTTACAACATAAAACCCTTTTTTTTATAAAACTTTATTTCACAAGAATTGTAAAATAGAGGCAACTATAATAACTTAATTTTTACTCCCTTGATTTTTTCAAGAATTTTTAGAAAAAACATCTTCAAAATCATTTTAAAAAATATTTCAAAAATAAAAATCAATTTCAGGTTGAAATCAGGCAAGAATTTAATTTGCATTTGGTTAGGAAGTCATGTGGGTATGTAATTTTAATTTAAGAAAAATGGAATAAGTTGGTTGAAATCAATCATAATTGAAAATATTAGATGACCAATGACCAAAAAGAAAAAAAAGATGGCAAGGTTTGGAAGCTTAATTTAGTCAATTAAGAGATACCTAAAGACTTAAATGAAAGTGGAGGATTTAAATGAAAAATTGAAACTTAGGTCATGATTGCACAAATTGGAAAGCTAATAACCTAAATGAAAATGGAAGAAACTTGGAAGGTTGCAATTGATTTAATTAGGGATCTAGTTGAAGAGAATTTAAAAATATGGATCCAATTTTGATTGAAATTACATAATTTGAAAAGTTATGGACCATATTGCAATGCATAGTAAAACTTAAAGGTCTAATGCGGAATGCATGAGGACCAAATTGAAAGGATTTTTTAAAAAATAAGACCCGATTAGGGATTTAATTATAACTTTCATAAATCATGGATTACAATTGAAAGGAAGTTGTAATTGAAGGACTACTGTGGTCTTTCTAAAATGACACCATTTCACTAAATTAAAAAGAACCCAATTTAAATGCCAAGTGTTGTTCAAAAAACCTAAAAATTTATTTAACTCGAAGTTTTCATGATTTTATAATAAACTCCTTGCTTAACATGTATTCTCAACACATTTTAAATATTAATTGATTTGCATTTTAAATAAAAAAAATTATAACTTTTAAAAGCTTTTTATTTTTTAATACATAAAGATACACAATCGCAAACTAGAACATTCTTTATAATTTTCTAGACATATTTTCAAAATAATAAAAGTTTATGTATTTTATATAAAGATGTTTGTTGGCTCTCATAACAAGATGGTATTTCTCTCTCTCTTTTTTTTTTATATTAAACAATGTTATAATATTTTTTTAAGATATTTTAATATATTATTAGTTAAACAAAGTATGTGCATAGGGTTTGTCAAAAAAATATATTTACCTCAAGTGTTTAAAAAATATATTTGCCTCGGGTGTTTAAAAATTGCTTTAGCATCTTAATAATAATAATATATGGAATGTCAACAAAATCATAACTTTTTCAAAGAATTTTTTTTTTTTTTAAGGTCAGGATTTAACAATTTTGATAGCTCTCACATTTTGATTAGAAAGAGCATATAGAGATATGTAATATAGGCTAAGATGTGTATTTATAAAATAATAGTGATTAATAAGCTCAAAAAATGTTTAAAGAATTCAAAAGACTTAGAATAACTTCGAGATACTACTATTATGTTTTTAGTGAATTGTCCATCATACCACATAAGACTCCTGTTCTTGATGCACGCTGCTTCTTGATGCTTTAGCTTTCAATTGTCACCTTTTCCATAAACTTGCATCACCCTTGGTCGTAAGTTGATAGGGCGCCCTTTTCTTTTTGGCTCTCAACAAGTCCTTTGATTGCACTTTATTCTTTTTGTTTGCACTCTGATTTTATTTGTTTTGGATATTTTTGTTTTTCTTTTCATGTGCCCCTTAATGTCAAGACAAGTTTTTCTAGTTGCTAAGAAAAGTATAGTTTTTTTATTATTAAATGATCAATCACTTTATGAATTATTTATGTATTAGCATATAAGATTTTAAAAATAATTTTGCTCATTAGTGATATTAAATAAAAATGACATCTTTTTTATCATAGGAATTTTACATAATTTTATTTTTTTTAATTTTTTTTTATATATAGTCTTGTCAAAGTAAAAATAATCAATTTATAATTTTATATCTATCTAAAACACGCTTCTTGATCATAATAGGTTATTACTTAAAAACCAATGTTTTTTAATAAAAAAATATTTTCATCAAAATAAAAATAAATGCATAAATAAAAAAATTAGATTTTTTACTATATATATATATATATATATTCTCTTCAGTTCAAATTCTTATAATTTTTCTGAATAATTTTTTATTGTTGTTGCTTTTTATTCAATGTTGACAAACAAAAAACTGTTATTGCAAGGAAAAAAAAATACATGAATCAAATAAGATAATTTTTATAAAAAAATAAGTTTTCTATATAATTTTACTATTATATTTATTGAAATTATTTATTTTTATTATTGTATAATTAAATAAAAAATAGAATTCAAAAGGTTCCCACTATGCTCGCCGCGTCTACAATAAATTAGGATTCCTCTTTGATGATGAAACGACAGAAGCAAAACTCAAATTTGGCCTCTTGGACAGGCGCAAACCAAATGTATCAGCACTATCATCCTTGATCCCAAGGACCTCATCATGCTCTTGCCTGTCTTAATGTAATTGAGAACAATTACAGCATCTTTAATGAAATTCAGCATCTATTTTTAGCAGTGAAATCTTTCGAAATGACTAAAAACTGGCATTTACCGTCAAGGCGAAGGACTTTTTCAACACAGCAGGCAGGAAAACGTGGAGGTCCGGATAGCATATGCTTTCCCATTTTTTTTTTTTTTTTTCCTTTTAACCTTTGCTTGGGCACTTCAGATCCATTAATGCGATTCACCTCCAAACAGCAAGCTGCCTGCACCTTCCAATCACCATAAAAGAAGTCTCTGGCAAACAAGCTTTTTGTTGCAAATGAGATGATATTGAACCACACAGGGCAGCTTATATATTTTTTCCCCTTCTTTTTGTTGAAGTTTAGAAATTCAACAAAGTGAGAGCATATTTAGGAAGTATCTCCACTTCTCAAACTTTGTAATAAATCCAAGTATCCCAAGCATTCAGGACTAATATACCTGCAATGAATACAGATATCAATTAATTTTAGAATGAGAATGGCAGTGGATGTTTTCATTAATTGCTATTTGTTTAAAAGGCATCTTACAATAGCCATTCCACAAAACTAAATCATGAAAAGAAATATTCAGAGAAGTGTCCTTGAGTTGCGCCTCAAGTGATTTTCTCTGCATATAAGAATGATATGGCTGAAAACTGCATAGAAGCCCAAACTTTGTGCATAAAGCTCTTCCTGTGGGGAAGGAAATAATGTTTCAGGTGAAGGGATGGAAAGGCTAAATAAAGAGTGAAACTCCAAGACATTAATTTGTGTGATTCTTGTGGCAAGTCATGGGTGTTCTGATCTTAATGAGAGCTGGAAGACAAAGATAAACTTGTAGTTGCCCCTATTGTTTGCATAATTACAGGCAGAAAATGACTAATGAAAGTGAATATCTTCTCACTATGAAGAGGTGGGTCATAATAATATAGGTGGCAAAGAAAAAATAGTTTATCTTTTAAAGTTAAATAAGTGGCCGCTAAATCAGTGTGAAAATAAACAAGGGAAACAATAGAGAAGAAATACCCATGTCGAAACAGAAAATCCATGATAACAAGAGAGCAATTAGGCTTGAAAAAATGGGTCCTCCGTATTACATTTGCAACATTTTCCACAGGTATCAAGTTGAAACTGTCCACTTCCCCATCTGTCACAGTTTGATATGCCAATGATGGTAAATATATCATGAAATGTCAAAAACACAATCCACAAATTTCTAGGCATATTTATAAGGCTTGAAGAATTGACATATAATTACAGCTGAAAACCTGAGCTTTCACAGTTTTACCTTGATTCTTAGGAATAAAATCACCAGGGAGTTCTAAATCATAACAGAATAGAACATCCCTCTTGTATCTATACCTGTCAACATCCGCATAAGAAACAGCACCAACTGACATGGCTCTGTAAAGAAGCAATATAGACCCATCATCAGAACGAGAGTGGTTGCAACCAAAACAACTTGATCAAAGGATCTGTTCCTGCTGCACCAAGATTCAACTTCCCAAACAATACAAGGCAGGCTGAACATAATTCAGCAGAAGAAGAGAACTTACTGATTAGAAAGGGATAGAGGAATCCCTGCTTCCTCTTCACATTCCTTTATAAGATTTGCAACACAAGACATCCCATGAGGCTGTCATTACCATAATGTAAGAGCTGGCTCAGAAATGAAGTGACAATTCTATGGCATGCTTATTTTTGCTAGTTGCCGCTGCTAAAGGAAATGGATTGCAAATATTGTAATCATCCGGGATTTAACATTGACATTTCACACTCCAAGTTCAGTTCAGAGTTCACCTAACACTTGGTTGACATAGTATTCAGAGCATTCAAATGTCAAAAATAAACAAATAATGGAATCTTCCCTTCGTCTTAATCTGACAATGCAAACCAGATACCAATTTCATTGAATGGTATACAATTAAGAATGTGGATTACAAAAGTAACTGATGAATATAATAAATAGTTACAAACCAGTCCACCAGCAACAAGATGATCAAGCATCCCAGGAAAAGTTTGTTTCATTGGACTTCTCTTTCCTATCCATAAGAATTTCTCCCCATCTCTTTTCACAAAACCATTCATATGAACTCCATATGCCTATTCTCATAGAGTTGAAAAGTGAATAAAAAATTTAATTAATTCTAACAAAAATAAAAAAGAATGAAGCAAAGAAATAAGAATCACAGACCTTAATTCCAAAATAAGGAGCGGCAGCACGTTCAAGAGAAAAATAGGGGGGCGATCCGAACGAAGGTGTGACAGGGTACAACTGATTGAAAATCAACGAGTAAACAGCCAATACAGCAAGAAATTAAAAAAAAAAAAAGCTCCACCGGGTTGATGATCTTTATACCTCATTCCGGATTCCTGGAATCAGTTCCTTATCTTCTTCTGCCAGGCATTTGATTACTTTTCCAACAACCCTGGTTCTTTCCTCTGGCGTGCTTAGTGTTTTATTTAAAGTCACATTGGTGCCGAAACGAGAATCACTTGGCACAACAACAAACACGTCCTTAAACCTCCTCAAATAATTATAAAAAAAACTGTCATAAATCAAAATCAATTCATCAATTTGAATTTCCCATTTCCTAAAAATCAATTAAAAAAAAAGAGGGAGAGGGAGAGAGATTCTCTTACCCGTTATGTATGTAACCAACTATTTGATCCTCTATCACCAATGGAATAAATTCAGATTTTATCTCCTGCAAATATTAAAAATTAGACAGTAAAAAATATTGTTAATTGACCAAAACACAAAGGAAAAGAGAGCTCGCTCTATACGGAGGAGCCGCGATTGCAAGATTTGATCTTTTCGAAGAAGCCAGAGAGATCTGAAGAATCATTTGGGGCATAGACAGGCAGAGAGGCTTGAACGACGTCGTCCCAAGTGAAGCTGGTAACTGATGATACAGAGCGACAAGTAAAAGCAGAACAACTGCTTCTTCCTCCTCCTCCTCCTCCTGTGATTGGTTTATAGAGAAAAGGTAACGAGAATCGGGTTTTGTTAGGGAGGCGGAAAGGATTTATGACCATCATCGCCAGAATTAGGTGGGGGCTGCCGTACGTGCGCGAACAGAGTTGGATGTTCACACATGTATCTTCCACATAAAATAAACTAACGGACCTCAATCCTCGTGGCTCATTGCGATAAGGGTGATGAGTTTTAAAAACTATTAATATTATGACCCGCGCGTTGCTGTACGTGTATTTTTTTTATATAAAAAATATAAAAATAATTAAATTTTAAAATTTTTAGATATTTTTTTAAAATTATAGAAAAGATTATTAAGTTTGATTTCAATGTTTAATTCAAGAGTAATATTTATAATATAATAATAACATTAAACTTGGATAATCCAAGTTTAAATAGGTCTAATTATAATACTAAATCCAATAGTCTTGAATATGGGTCCGGCTGTAAAGTCGAAGAGTAATATTTATAATATAATAATAACATTAAACTTGGATAATCCAAGTTTAAATAGGTCTAATTATAATACCAAATCCAATAGTCTTGAATGTGGATCCGGCTGTAAAGTCGTATTATAAAAGTGTAATAATTAAATAAATTAATTAAAAAATATAGAAAAAAACCAACATGGAGAAAAAACTAATGAAGAAAAAAAATTTGAATTAACTGGATTAACCTTTCAAATCAAGTTAACCTGTCAAAACTTGAATTCGTGTCATGAAAGTTTGATAATTAAATAAAAAAAATTGACGGGTTACCCATAATTAACTGGGCTAACCCGTCAAATCCGGGATCCGTATCATGAAAGTTTGATAATTAAATAAAAAAAATTGACGGGTTACCCATAATTAACTGGGCTAACCCGTCAAATCCGGGATCCGTACCATGAAAGTTTGATAACTAAATATAAAAAAATTTAATATTAACAAACTAAATTAAATGAAAAAAATTAATGAAAAAGAAAAAAAAAAGGCATCAACCTTTTCATTGTGGATTGCATTGTGCAGTCCACAGTTAAAGGCATAGAAATGGCAAAAAAGCAAAAAGAAAAAAAACTAACTGAGTTAAAAGAAAAAAAAACCTATAGAAAGGAAAAAACTAATGAAGAAAAATAAAAAAAATCTAAATTAACTGTGCTAACCCGTCAAACCTAAGATCCATGTCATGAAAGTCTGATAACTAAATAAAAAAATTAACATAAACAAAATAAATTAAAAGAAAAAAATTAATTAAAAAAATAAAAACAAACAAAAGGCATTAACCTTTTTATTGTGGACTGCACCGTGCAATCCACAATCAAATGTATAAAAACGATAAAAAAAGAAGAAAAACTAAAGACATCAATCGATAACTAAATAGAAAAAAATTAATATAAATAAACTAAATTAAACAAAAAATATTAATTAAAAAGAAAAAATAAAAGGAAAAAAACCTAGAAGAAAAAAAAAACTAATGAAGAAAAAGGAAAAAAATCTATATTAACTGGGTGAACCCGTCAAACCTGAGATCCGTGTCATAAAAGTCTGATAACTAAATAAAAAAAAAATTAATATCAACAAACTAAATTAAAAAAATAAATAAAAAAGAAGAAGAAGGTTTCAGCCTTTTCACCGTGGACTGCATTATGCAGTCCACAGTGAAAAGGCATAATAAGAAAAAAAAAAGAAAAAAAACAATTAAAGTGATTAGTACTTAAAAGTATTTTTATCATGATTTTATATCATCATTTTGCACTTGAAGTATCAATAACTCCTTAACTAAAATATGTTTTATAATAATATATCTAATAATATAAGATACCTATAATTTGTGGTAAATGTCTATTTTTAATGCAGGCCTATAACATAAATGAAAGGATTGATTGATGACTTGAAGAACATAAATTGCAAGGATAAAGAGATGGCCAAACTTAGAAAAGAGATGTCGGTGCAATCCAAACCGGAACACTGTTCGGTAAATGGGTCATATCTGGAGCTATATATCTCAGATTTAGGTCCAATTTATATGGATGGAAAGGTAAGACATAGGCCTACAACTTTCATATGGAGCCCAAGATCTAAAAAGGCCATTATCAAGTCCAAATTGTAGCAACAACAAAGAAGCCCGAATCTGTCTTCCAGCCCGAGCACTGTTCGGTATTTTGGCCATATCTGGAGTTCTAGAAGTCCAAATGAGCTGAAATTTTTACACAAGAAAGCTGAGACAATTGCCTACAACTTTCATGTTTGCAACTGGCTCCAGTTTTGACGTTATCAATGACGTTTTGGGCAGACAAGAGAAGATAAGGATTGTCACCAAGTCAAAAGTTGGTCACCCACTTATCAATTAGTCATCAAATCAATAGTTCCCATTTTTGGCCTATAAAAGGAGGCATTTGCCATGCATTTAGGCATCTTGGTGTTCAGATCAAGATCATGCTCTTCCTTTCTCTCTTTGTATTTTTTATGCTTTGTTTTCATTAATATTAAGTTTATGCCTTTCATTTCCTTTCCTTTACTTAGTTAACTTTTATGTTCTTATTTTGTTTATCTATTTTGCTTTCTTTCATTATGTCTAGCTAAGTTAATTATGTCAAGGTGAAAAGGTTACACTAATGGTGTAAGAATAAGTATAATGTAAACTTAATATGGACTTTAATGTTTGATACTAACATGTTTTATATTTGCTATCTTGTTCACTCTTTAATACTTTGCTTGTTAAATGACTAATCTTGATTTATGTTGTATAACACTTGGTACAACAAATGCTTGGCACTTTCATAGCCCATAATGTATGGTATAACCGACACCTGAGCTATGAAAGGAACTTGATTTGTTGTTAACATAAGTTATAATCATGAATGCTTGACGAGATTTACAAGTATTAGCATTAATTGAATAAGATGACTAATGTAATCATGTTAACAATATATAATCTGATTGGAACCTCCTTTGTGTGTGGTTTCCAATTCAATAATAAGAGTTTATACTATACTTGTTTGATATACCATTAGTGGAACCTCTAACCTTGACATTTGTTATTATCATTGTTTAATCGTTACATTAATATTCCATCTCAAAGTTCTCATCATCTTCTTCTTCTTCTCTTTCTTTATTATTATTATTATTACTACTACTACTACTACTACTACTACTACTACTACTACTACTACTACTACTACTACTACTACTACTACTACTACTACTACTACTACTACTACTACTACTACTACTACTACTACTACTACTACTACTACTACTACTACTACTACTACTACTACTACTACTACTACTACTACTACTACTACTA